CGCGGGCTCCGGCGGCGAAAGAGTCGCCAGCATCAGAGCTTGGAGACAGGTAGGGACCTTCTCGGAGCACAAGGAGGGATTCAAGTTTTCATCCAGAGGAGGGACGGCTGGGCCCAGCCCGCCCTGCTCCGCAGGCTTGAGCGTGGGGGTGTACTCAATGATCTCGATTCTCTTTGGGAGGAGGGAGGGCAGAGCTGGCTCCTCCGTGCCGTCGAACGAGACCACGGTCCTGCGCTCGTGAGCTGTCGCCTCCTGCTCCAGCCGCAGCTCGCGGGCAGCAGAGGCAGCAGGCAGGGAGGGAGGCCGCTCCGCAGGCTGCTCTGCCCCAGGAGGCGGCAGCTCCACAGCGATGGGACTCGGCACCTTGTCGCTCTCCGGGGCCGGCTCCGGCTCCTCGCTCTTCCCGCGCGGCAGGAGCTCGGCGGCAGGAGAGTCGTTCCTGGAGTTCTTGCGCGCGGGCGGCGCGCAGCCCGGGCTGGCGTGCTGATGCTCCTGCTCCTGTCTCAAGCGCTCGAACTCCAGCGTGGCCCGTCGGACAGAGCCCGGGCACCACTTGGGCTCGGGGGCGACGTTCTGCTCGCGAGGCTCGTGCTGCTCTGCCGCTGGGCTGCTTCCCTCCAGGTCCCATTTGCAGGGAGGGAGCTGCAGTGAGGAGCCACCTTCCTGCTCAGCTTGCAGAGGGTCCTTCTCCTTCTCCTGGTGTCCAGCACAGGCTCCTTCGCTCTGCTCCAGCCTCTCTGATGTCCAGGCCACCTCCACCGGCAGCTCGTGCACCGTGTTCCGCTTTGGTGTCTGGGTATGGTTTGTAGAACCCTCTTTCTGCTGGGCAGGTCCTGCTCCCTGGTTGATCGACTCAATTTCTGTGATAATTTCCTTCACAGAAATTGCATTTTCTGAGGGGGATCTTGTGAGATGGTCTGTGCCAGGCAGCTCGGGGACCTCCTGCAGGGGAGAAACAGGGGAGTTACAGAATGAATCATCTGTGCTGACACAGCACGAATGCAGCTTAGCAGAAAAGGGTGCCCACACCCACAAAGCAAACACACACCACACGTGTCAATGTGCAGAACTAGATCCCAAGTGCATAACAAGTAATATCATCCCTGCGACTGTATTCAATGTATTCCAGGGTAGATTTTCACCTGGACTATGATTTAAAAGCCTGTTACTTAGCTGACATAAATCCCAAGGGAAAACAGTTTTGTTTTCTTTTTTTAAAAGGCCCAGTTACATAAAAAAAAATAAATCTAATACTGCTAAAAGTGCAGTTTTGAACTGTAAATTTAAAAGATTCTCTTTATGTACAAGAGTGAACAGAAACACAGCATAAAGAACGAGCACTGAAATGCTCTAGTTCCCCTAAGGAAAACAGGCAGAGAAGCCAGCACTGACATTCCTTCCTTCCGCCAGATCACTGCAGATAGTATTGGCCTATTGTAATTGGAAGGTCCCTGCTGTCTCACATGGAGATAGAGAAGACTCAAGCAAAGCAGCGTGGCATTTAAATAAGAGGCTCCCAGAACACGATGGCCTCAGCCACCGTCAGTCCCTGTGAGCACCCCGCAGGGTGGAAAGCAATTAGAAGAAAAAGGTTCCTAATTCAGGATGCCATTAAATTCCATCAAGAACATCTCTGCCGCAGGAGAAAGAACCCTGACAACCCTTATTGACACCCCAGGTTTGCACCCACTCATTCGCTTCTTTGATCAGTCCCCATCCATCTGTCCCCAGTTTGCTGTCTCAATGCGGGTATTTCCCAATCATGAAAAGATAGCAGCTTTGCTCCATTACTTAGTGGATTCTTCAAGCCTGGGAATCTGTGCGGATTCAGGATGCTGGCTAGTCCCTCGTGTTCAGAGTTCAGCTGCAGTAACGGGGCAAGTCCCACCTATCTGCTCTCCTTACGCAGAACTCAAAACCTCCCCTGAGAGCAGCACAGCAGGGCAGATCCCGGCCGATTCAGCCAGTGCCCTGTCACTGCCAGCAGCCAGTAAACAGATTTTTAAGGGAAAAGTCCAGAAAAGGGGAAGTATCTAGCAATCTCTCCCCAGAAACCCATCCTGGTCAGCAAAGCCAGAACTAGAATTGCCCCGACCACAGCAATGTCACAGCACAAAAACTACTGCGGACATATTTGAGCAGTGCCCCCCAAACTGAGCAAACTATTTTAACCTTTTGTTGTTCTTCATCAGTGGAAGAGTCATCTGATGCTTGAGGAGAGTTTCCAGAGCTGCTCCTTTGAGTATCTGTAGCCCCATCGGCAGCAGGTGGCACCTCCAGAGTAGACCCCTTGGAGATCCCATTCCTTCCACCTCCTTGCTCCTCTGTCCTGGAATGGGAGCAGGTGCGTGACCTGCTCTCCTGGGAAAGCTCCACAAATTTCTCCAAAGCGCTGAAGAAATCAATCCTATCTGTACTGAGCTCTGACACTTCAGGCTGGGGAACCTGTTGGGGACTTGGGGAATTCTGGTTTGGAGACTGAGGAAAGCACGTAGTGAATTCTTCCATGGGAAGCAAATGCACATTCATATCAGGCTTTAGAGCATCTTTTTCTAAATCATCCACTGTCAAATCAGGAAACTCCGTTATTTCCAAGGGGTGCTGGAGTTGCATTAAGGCCTCAGAAGCATGGCAGTTATCAGGGGGGATAGAGTCCACGCAACAACCTACTGGACAGCCATTGATATTGTTTAGGTTCAGCTTGTCCTCTATCTGCTCAGCGTGGAAGTCTCTACACGTAAACTCCAGGTGAACCCTTCTCTCTTTCACACATGGCTCCTCGATCAGGTTTGCATCCTCTGGATGCTGCTGTTCCCTGTCCAGCTCAGCTGGGTAGACAGGAGACATTGGTTGCTGGTTGTCGTTGGTCTTGGCGTCTGAGATCTGGTCAGCAGAGGTGGTGATCTCCTTTTTGTTCAGTTCCAGCCCGGACTTGCAGATGGGTTCATGATGGTCAGACAGGTCACTGTCTGAGTGCGAGCGCCACAGTTTGTTGTGCCGCTGCTTGCTGTGGGGAACAAAAGCAAGGGAAAACATTGAGTTGTGTTTTCACATTCCAGGGCAAGACCCATCCTGCTGCAGGAGGATGCAGCTTACATGAAGAACAGTGACAAATACTGGAAGTCACTGAGCACAGCTGCAGCTTAACCTAAACATTTCAGGGCCAAATATGCTGCTGGAGAACTTGGTCTGGTACCAGGCCACCTTTCAACACTGTTCTGCTCCCATGTATGCGCCAGCCCTACTTCATCAGCCATTCCTCAAATGCAGCGTTTAACTGACTACCAAATGTGGTCCCTTCTCAGCCATTTTCCATCCATTTTTCAGCTGGTAGCAAGGACCAGGAGGGACAGGGTGCCTGATCCTGGGTCTGAGCAGATAGTGGATCCCGAATGAAGTCACATTTCCTCTCCAGCGCAGCAGGAGCCTTGTGGCTCCTTCCTTGAGACATTTTAGTGATCGATAACCAAGTTCTGGCAACCAAGGAGGCTGTGCGTGCACGGGGACACACAGGAGAACATCCTCTACAGCCAACAAGCAACCCCAACCACCACCTGCATTTCCCAAAAAGGGAGCTCAAGTTCTCCATCTCTTGGAAAGTCCCTTTAGGAAGGTCTGAGGAGTCACAAGGTCAACCCACACCAGCAGCACTGAATCATCTTCCTCACGTCCACCTGCCAAAAACAACCCATCCCACGGTCCCTGGGGCTATGGAGAACAAAGGAGGCCACTTCGGGATGAGTTTTCCTGAGTGACCAGGGCCATGGGGCTGTGCTTCCACCGTTTGCCCCTAGGAGGAGAGCAGATACCACAGAAAGGACCTTGGGTCTGCAGGAGGTCTAGTAAAGCCTCTCCAAGGCCCCTGCCAGCAGGAGCAGGTGCTCCAGACACATCCACTGGCTGCAGGAGGGTTATTAGAGGCCATTAGACTCACCAGAACACACCAGTTTAGGGGCCCAATGGACAAGGCAAACACTCCACCTGGAGTTCACCTTCTCACCCCATTATCAGCTACGTAGGACATGGGGCAGGATCAGGTCCTCTCACAGGAGAGGAGGGCCGACAGTGGAGGCCCCGCAACACGGCGCTGGGAGGCACGTGCTCCGTTTCTAATGGATTTTGGAGCCCAAGTTAACCCCGGCAGCAGGAGAGGCCTGTCCGGTAGCAGGTGGATGCTGAGGCCCTCTGGACAGGAAGGTTCCAACCTTCAAACCTGCAAGAGGTGCTAAAAGCAGCACCAAGAAACAAGAGCCCATGGCCCTTCCCAGAGACATCCCTTGACCTTCCCACCCCAGTGCTGGGGCGACCAACACGTCACAGCCCAAACCCCTGAAGGAGGTGGCTCCCAAACACGTTTCTGCTTTAATTTCTCCACAACTAAGAAAAAAAACAGGCCTCCAGCCCCTCCGTCACTACCCACCAGCAGAGGGAGGGGACGGTTTAACCGCAGGAAGTGTGATGGTGCTGAGGAGCAAAACACGCTTGTTGTTGTGACTAAAGGCACACGGGGGGGATTTCTCTTTTGCAGATGGAAAACATATCCCAGCTGCTATAATCCCAGCACAAAACCGTAACTAGATAGTCGGAGCACATGGCTGTGCTCGCAAACCGTCCCTCTGAAATCTGAGCAGTCACATGAGTATGAATCTGTTGGGTTTTTGTTTTTTGTTTTGTTTCTTTTTACCTGTCCTGGAAAACTGCAGCAATAAACAGGGTGGCCAGAGGGCAAAACTAAATCAAATGGAGGAGGAAGGGGGGAAAAAGCAGTTGGAGCCGAGAAAGGACCAGCATAAAGAAAAGAGGGACCATTTCTGCAGTCTACAGAGGCTGTTCCTTGCTTCAGTGAAGCTTCATTTACTGCAGGCTTTTTAGCCCGGCACCACAGATGTAATGCACTGCTCTTGCATTTTTTAAAGCCTCGCAAGTAATCGTGTTCGTGCCATTGTACAGGGACCCGCAGAGCAGGTCAGGAGCGGCGGGAGGAGGGCCGCGCGCCACCGAAAGCCTCTGCTCCCACCAAATAAAGGACTTAAAGCTAAAAGCCTTAACCAAAACGCTTGCAGGGGCTGAATTTGCAGGTGTGACAGAGGCTACTGGGCACACGGAGCGCTCGGAGCAAGGGCAGGTTTGGAAGGTGCGCCGCTACCAGCGCCCAGTGCTATTCCCAGGTGTTCACCCACCTGTTGCACAGGATGTTGGCACCATTTCCCTGCCTGAAAACCTTCTTTTCCTCCATCCAGCCTACCCGAGGGAGATCTAATTTTCCAGTCTGCCTAATGCACATCAAACTGGGCAGGTCACTTCTAGCTCGGAGTTAAGTGCTGATCCTTATTAACTGCTGCCAGCAGCCATGTAGCACATTTGGTGCGCCGCAAGGCACCAAAGGCTTCAGATTTGCTCAATAGCAAAACATGTCAGGATCCAAGACAAAATACCGTAATCTGGAGAAACACAGCTACCTCCTTCCAGCTGAGCACGTGACAGTGTTGCTTAACACAGTTTACAAGCAGATTTCTCAGAAATATGCAATATTTATATCTTTTTTCGCTAATCAGGTGATAGGCTTGGGGTTACAACACCCTTGCCCATAGCCAGCTCCACACCAGCCTCACAACTCCAGGCAGGAATAAATAGTGCTGTTGCAATGCAAAGGAAACAAGAACATCCTGTCCCCTCCCCAAACACCAGCACTTACAGGAGGGTCTAAATAAAACCAGGCCAGCTGCTGAGGAGGAGCACGGTCAACAGGGAGCTGTAAAGTTGAGGCAGAGGGAAGGCAATTTCTCTGCCAAGTGATGTTACAATGAATAGGGACATCATTTATCTGTGTTGGAAACCACACAGCTCTGAATACTGCATTTGGATGGCAGTCCATGGGATGCTGCTCTCCAAAAAGCAGCCCAACAGCCTCCTAGAAGCTTTTTATGACACCATTTTCCCAGGCTCAGCTTAGATAACCCATGAAAACAGCGTGTTATCTCCCCCAAGATAACCGCGAGCTTACATAACGCAGCGAGAGAGGTTCCAATCAAAATAACCAAGTCAATCATCCCAGCGTTCCGCCTCAAAGCGGGCAACCCGGCTCATTTCCCCCAGGCCCACCTGGCCAGCAGGATCCCTTGGTACTCCTCGAGCTGCCGCATGAAGCTGGGGTTGGGCTTGGTGACGGTGCGCCGCTCCTTCACGTAGTCGTACGCGCGGTCCAGGTTCCAGCCGTACTCCTTCATGGCGTAGGCGATCACGGTGGACGCCGAGCGGCTCACGCCCATCTTGCAGTGCACCAGGCACTTAGAACCATTTTTCCTGCAACGGGAGAAAGATCGAGAGGATCAATAAACACAAAATACTGCCTTCAAGAAGCTTAAGGCAGCAGCGGCTTCTGTACTAAAGCATCGTTATGAAACTCGTTTTAAACGCTGTGGCCTTGGCTGGCAGTCTCTTGGATGTGATCTGATCATCCAATTGACAAAGCAGAGCAGGACACACAAAGGAAGAGAAGGACAAAATCCTGATGTTCTTAATAGATTTGGCTACAATAGTGCTTCCAGAGCTTTTATTACAAAGCAGACAAACATCAGCTGTTTGCACAGCTTTATGAAGACTCTGCTAAAGACTAATGTGTATCCTTGAACCCAGCCAAAATGGCTCACTGGTATCAAGCAGTATTCCAAATACAGAAGGCAATCTATTACCCACAAAGGGCTTCACAGCTCAGAAACACATTGTTGGAAGATACCGAGTGGCTAAGGGCAGTCTCTAGCATAGGGATGTTTGTCTACTGCAAACCATTTTTCAAGTGGCTGCTCAAGACCAACATTGCTTTAATACAGTGTTTGAAATCCTGCCTGGCCACCATGGGCATCTCTTGTGAGGCACTGAGGGGTAAAAACCCAGCCAAAGCCCCATGGGCCAACCTGACCGATTTTTTGCAATACCTCCCTTTCTTAGGACCATCTAGAAGAGGAAGGCTCATCCCCAGCCCTGTCCAGAACAGCACTTGGGGTCCTTCTTCTTGGTATCAGATCCAGGGCAAGTGAGTGGAAAACATGAGCTCCCCATGCAGGGAGGCAAAGGAGGACTCAAAAGACCCCAAGCCAGTGCAAGCGCCTGCTGCACCCAGAGGGAAGATGCCTGCTGATATTATCCTTTCTCTTGTACCAAAGGCAAAGTAAACAGCACTCCTGAGTGCAGTGAGCAGCTGCTTTACTTGGGTGAGGCTGGTGCAGACAGCGCCTCAGAGGGCAGCCTGCGCTCTGCCCCAAGGAATTCAAAAATATTTGTCTCCCATGAAATACGAGGAGAAAGTCTAGCTGGCTCTTATCTGTGAGCTCAGAGCACCAGGCAGGCCGAGAGCATTTTGGTTTGGCTCCTTCAATTGGGTTTTTTTTTTCCCCCTATTGCTTGGATAAGGTTTTCTCTCCTGCTGGCCACGTGAAGCTCCCCCAGGACAGGCTGGGATGCTGTCGAGCACTGTCATGTGCCTTGACAGGCAGAGACTTCAGCTGCACACAGCTGTCTGAGCCCGCAGTTGCATCCAAACCCCACGTGCACAGCGTGAGATGTGCTTCCTGTTTGGGGTATACAGCAGCCTATCACTTGGCAAAAGCCTTCCTTATCAAATAATCTTAATTCTTCCAGCAGGGCAGGGATGTCCATGCACCCCTCAGCCCTATCAGCTCCTTACAGAACCATAAGAATAATGATCTGCAGTAGCAACTCTTAACACTCAGACATTTGCACCTGCAATACTTACAAAATGAAAATGCCTCATTCCTAGTTATATAAGGAAGAAAGTAACTACGAAAACCAGTAAGAAAGTACTAAATGCTTAGTATATATTTTCTTAATGTGTTTGTTGTGCTCTAAACATACTTACTTTGCCTTGGAGATGAATTTGTAGGTATCATTCCAGTAAGCCAGAAGATCTGTTGCTTCTTCATCATATACCCGAATATTATGATATTCGAAGACCCCTGGGAAGAAGTTATCTATTTCTCGAGTCACATTCAAAATATACCGCACCCTGCATGGAAAGAGAGAGCGCAAAAATGCAGAGCATGCAGAACTCAGCAAGTTCAGAGAGATATCGCAGCTGCTAGATAAAAGGCAGGCAAAACTCAAAGCATTCAAAACTGCAGTCTTGAACATGCTATCTTGGAAATAAGGAGTCAGTGCAAGGAGGTAGTGACAAACCCAAGCAAAAAGATTAGCTGAGCAGCTTAGAGCGTAACCTATGATAAAAAAAGCCTTCCTTTTATTCTGAATAGAAATGAAACCTCCTGTAAGGGCTGTCAGGCTGTTTGGCTTGTTCACCATCTCTCCAAGCGCTGGCAGCTCTCATGCTCCAGGATTCCTCCCTTATTTAGTACAAGGGAACTGCAGCCGGCCGTTCGCTGAACAAGGGAAGTTCTGCTAGGCTGGTTATCCAAGGGGCCCAAGTACGCTACCAATTCAGTTCTGTGGTGATAACTTTATTTTTCCTATTGGATTGGGAAACTGAACATGTAAATAACAGTTCACTTCCATGCTCCTTGTACATAGATCCACCTGGCCTAGAAGCAGGATATGGTAACCACAAGCCTGCAAGATAGCAAGGACAGAAGGTAGAGGTACATATCAGTGCTGAGCCCAAAAGCCATGGACTTTATTTCCCTTGGTTCATCTCAGGGGAACAAATGCTCTTTCACACATTTTCCTTCCTGCTGCAGCCCAGAGGTCCAGACTCCCAAGCGTCTCTGTAATCCCGAGGCCTCAGTCCAGCACAGTGGGCTTGAGCAAAGGGCACAGAGCCAACTACGCTGCAGTGAAGCAACTGCAGCTTTCTGCCGCTTGCTGCTACGAGGCTGCTGGCTTCTTCTGTTTGCTTAGGGGATGCCAGGCAAGCTCAGGGAACCAGATTCTTTTACTTTGGGGTGCCTGTCTGTGGAACATGGGGCTTGGAAGACCCGAGGGAGCAGGAGCTTGGCAGCTTGTTCAGATCTGCAAGCCCTTTGTACAAGTCGGGTTACGCTGCGCCTCCGCGGTGGAATTTGGTGCACAGACGAGCAAGGCCAGGCCCTGGCTTTTAAGCTGATGGCCTGAAGCTACTTACCCTCTGTTCTGCAAGTCTTCCAAATTGGAGGCGTTCCACTCGGAGCCCTGCAGGGAGAACATGCAGAAGGACACATCACCCACAAGGAAAACGCAGAGAGAACAGAAAAAACAAGGAGGGAGGAGAAGTCACCCAGGACCACCTGGAAGAAGCTGCCCAGCCACGTGCTGAAGCACGAGGGTCTCTGGAGTAAAGGGGGTGCCCAAGGGCGGCAAGAGGGCTGACGCCTTCATGCTCAGCCCCTTATCTTGCTCTATCAAGCAGCTCCTTTCCAAAGCAACAAGCAGCTCTGCAGAGCCGAGCCCAGCGCCGTACCCGGGCACTTCCTGCAAGGCGTTGAGAAATCTGCTTGAGCGGAGCCGAGCGCGCTCCACCCTGTCCCCGGGGGCTGCTGCTGCCAGCTCTGCCCCACAGAGCAGAGATTGCCTGTCCTCAACAGCCATCCAGGTGCTCTTTATACACGGAACACCCTGCTCACACGCACATCAAAGGCGGCAGCGCGGTGAGCGCGCCGGGGTTACACCTCTTCTCCCCACGCTCCAAGCGTGCACGAGCACTGAAGCGCAGGAGTTCAGCCCCGGCTGGCTAACCCGCTCCTCCGCTTCCTACACGGAAAGTGCACGAGCTCCTGAGCCAACCTGCTGTTGCTCATGGCAGAGACCTGTCTTGCACACACGTCTATTCCAGCCCTGCTACGTGGTGCTGCCTGCGAGCCTTGTCTCATGCTCTTGTTCTTACTACCCACACTCCAAGCCAAGGCTCAAATCCCTGCAGCTGAGCACATTGCCTGGACTGCTTTCGAGGAGCGCCGCGAGCCCCTAACAGGTCTCTCCCTGGACAGCACCTAGTCTGCACAAAACTGTGATGTTGGAGGTAGTTTGGCTTTTCTGGCTCTATCCCACCTCTTTCCTGAGAGTGCTCACGTTAACATTTGTCATCCCTCTGGAGCCACGGGAAGGCACTGAACTTCAGGAGACTGGGAGAGGCTGTCTCAGGTTGGACAGACCAGCTGGTCCAAGAGAACTGGCTTCCTTTATAGTTGAGCCAAACTCATAGGCTAGACAGCCCCACAAAACCAGCGTCCGTTGCTCCAGGGCTGGGAAATCCAGTGGAGAGCTGACTCACCAGGAGGAGGTGGAATAATGAGACAGGCCCCAGCAGCAATGAAAGGCAACTAAAGGAGTAAAACATTAAAAGGCGAAGCCTTTGAATTGCCTTAAGTGGGTTATCTCCAGGTTCTTTGCAAAACTCCTGTGTTCCCCCAGATGACAGGTATAACTTGTGAATTCACTGTTAGACTTACCAAAAAGACATGATCGAATATCTGAGTGGGGCTGTCCATCTGCCCGAGGATCACTATCATTTCATTGTCGATGAACTCTTTGAACTCCCGCAGGTTACACACCATCTGCATCTCCAGCTCCGTGCGTATCTGGGGGAAGACAAGGAAACCACGTGAAGTTTTGCCTCTCGTGTTTCCTCACAGCACAAAGCTCTCCGCTCTGTGCAACTGCCCTTCTAGTGCTGCTCTTCCACCGCTCACCTCTTTGGACGTGATGTTCTCCAAATCCTTCTGCATCATAATCTCCCTTAACTTGGTCTTAATCAGCCGTTCTGTGCGCTCCCGCTCTGTTGGGCTATCAGAAGGAAGGAAAAGGGAGTCATGGGGAAGGGAAATGAACTGGACTCATGACACTTAAAACTTGTGTTGTTTGGGCTGGATACCCTGCAGTCTCAGACACCCATGCTACTTTCCTCCAAGCAGTTCCTCAACTGGGAGAAATTCAGGTGACTGTAAAGTGCAATTTCGATTCCCAGCTGTATATGAAAGAACAACTCAGTGTGCCTAATCCATTGTAGTCATCCAAAGAACCTTTGGTATTTGGTAAAATTTAAAT